CTTTACTTTTCGCTACCACCGGTCTCTGCCTTCCAGGTGATGGGCTACCACCTTTGCCTCTCTTCACCCAGCTTGGTTTGTAAGAACTTTTTGCTGAGATTTGGGAAGGATCTGTAACAAGTAAAGATGGGTAATATTATGAGTATCTGAAACAAATGCTAGTTAAAAACTCCTATACGTCAGGTGAACTCATGACTGGATAAGGATCCATGGTTTGACATAAACTTGAATCACCTTTTTAATTTTTTTCACTCCCGAGATAAATTCAACAATGTTTTAATGCTATAATCTTTCCAACCCTACTGCAGTTCTCTCTAGGCTTGTGTCACTATCAGATGAATCCAATTTTTCTAATAATTTTTTTCGCTCGCCAGAAGTCGCTGTTTTATTTTTAGTAGACAAGATGAATAACATATAAGTTTTCATACAACAGGATCAGAATCCCACATCCATACCAGTGAGAATAAAGCCTGAAAGAAGAACATAGTCCAGGTCCCTTTATTTTTATATTACCATTTCTCTTATTACCTTTACTTTTTGCCACCTCATGTCTCTTTCTAGCTGGTACTGGACTGCCACCCTTGCTGCTTTCTACTGTACTTGGTCCAGAAGTACTTTTTTCTAAGATTTGAGAAGGATCTGTAACAAGAATATTTACATGTTGGATTATCATATTACTGCTGACATGACATCAAGGGAAATGAACAAAGGAAAAGTAGCAGTATTGCTTTACATATATTAGCACTTGGCGAGAGCAATGTAACACATGATATTGCCATTGCACGGTGGTTCACAAAAACACGGGACACTGGATAATATTATGTGACTAATCAAGTAAAACTGAGGTGAATGAGTGAACGTAGGCTAGAAGAAATATTGCTTTCCAAGCAGAATAGCATCTGAAACAAATACTATTTAACATTCCCCATACCCGACATGGACTCATTACCGGACGAGAAGCCAAGGTCGACATCATGACTGTACTGCCGTAGGTACCTTTTTTCTCAACTGAGAAAAATTTGAAAATTACCAATCGTGTGATGAATCATCTGTAAGACGCGCGATGTCAAAACTAGATGTTGCGTGATGGTTGAAAACTTTTAAGGCATGGTAAACTAATAGAGCATATGTAATGGAGAAATGTGTAGAAAAAACTATTTAGTAAGAAATATACTTAGATCAGGCAGGATTGGGGGAGATTAGACAGTTTGGGCTTAATTTTTCAACATTTTTTCGAATCTCTTCTTCGAAAAAGGACAAATAGTTTTATGAAATATTACCATGCTCTTGGAGGACTAGAATTTCCCCCATCAAAATTATTACGTCATAGATGAAAGGATCATTTGAACCGATATCCTTAACATGCATTTCTAACATAGTTTGATACAAAACTCAAATCATCAAGTCATTTCTCCAAATCCACAAGCAGCATTACCTTGATCATCTCCAGTCTCATTACTCTCAGCTCCCTGTTCAACCGAACGTCCACTGTGATCACTGCCTGATGTGCCGGGAATATCCGAGCCTGCAACAACAGAAATATGGCTGTCATACTATGAAAGCATTAGGAGACAATTGCTCTTATTTATTTCAAAACTTTCTGCGAGCTCTAGGGAATTTGGAACCATTTGGAAAATAAATATTCAAGTTATAGCTCAACATAAGGCCGTTTTGTGCAAAGTTAGGCAATGTAACGGCATTTAATAAATTAACTAATGAATTATCGAATCTATTACACAGCAACAGAAATAATGCTGCCATACTATAAGAGCATTATCAGGTCAATCTCAATTTTAAAATAATACATTTTTTGACAAACTTAACAGAGTATGATAAAAATACTCGATATTGGGAAGATCAGGTTTTCTGATATTCGTACTGGAGAGAGAAATGTGAGCAACAGTGGGTAGGGGTTATGTAAACATATGTATGTATACATGAATATGGCACATTTAACTGGTTCCCATAGAATTTTTCTTTCTTCCAATATATATGAAATTTCTTTCAAGTTTTAAACTACGCCAACTTTCACCAAAATCATTTCAGAATAACATAGTTGAAGTATTTAGGATACATGTGCTAAGGAGGTGAATGTTGCACAAATGAAAACATTCGACATAATAAATGAAGGTGGCAATTTTTTGCATGCAATCCAATGAGGAGATAAAGTCCTGTTTTTATTCGAGAGATGTGTCATTGCTTGATTTTTATAAGTTTTTTCTTGATGAAAATCTCTATCCACGTGAAAAAATTACTATCAATGCCTGGAAGTGCATATGCGTGCAAAAAATTTTTTTCGAAAATGAATGAATGTGGTTCCCACTTATAGCCTTCATTTAGGAGTATGCAGTCCTGCATATCTTTAAGCCCTTTTCGTAGTTACAGTCTAGTTTATTTTTAGCCAGTAAAAAAGTAGTCGTACTCATGTAGTATGTAAACCAGGACTGCCGACACCGGATCGTAGTATGTGTAACAGGTTAGGGTTAGGCCACAAATTCAAGTAAAAATACTATAGCAGTTACTTGGCTAGTCCCTGAACTCGTAATATAACTAAAAATAGAAAAATTGGAATGAAATTATGGCCTAACTCTAACCTGATACACATGTTACGTTCCGGTGTCCACTATCTTGGTTCACATACTACGGGAGCGCCAAAGTAGTTACAAAATTAGGAGAAATAAAAATTAAAGACAATTTTACTGGAGAAGCAAAAACGTGAGGTAAATATATTTTCCTATACCAGCATAACTAAATGTTGCATCATGATTGAAAATATTGTAAGGCATGTTAAACAAATAGAGAATTAGGAATAAATGAATCAATGTTTGGAGAAAATATACAAGTGGAAGAAACTATTTTAAAAGAAATACACTTTGATAAGGCCGGATTGTTGGAGATTAGACAGTTTGATAGCAAGATTAATCTTTTAGGAGATTTTCAAAGCTTCTCTCTGATATAGTTGTCGTTTTATAAATATCACTTTGCTCCTGAGAGGGCTAGAATGTTTCCTATCAAGATAATTATGACATAGATGAGGGAGTATGCAATCGTTGAAACCCGATATGCTTAGCATGCATTGCTAACGTTGTTTGGTTCGACACTCGAGCCATCAGGTCATCTCTGAACAAATCAGCAACCAACATTACCTTGATCAATTTACCAGGTTCGTCTATCAGCCGATATTTGTTAGCTCACCAGATCTCACTAGGATAAGATAGGATTAACATATTTATTCCGGGACCGGTGATATCCGATAAGACGGCTTAACCATATGGCGAACCACAGCCTCTCCTTCAGTTACCATTTCATGTCGGGTATGGGATTAGTTATAATGGTGTGCAGAATCCGGTTGCCGAATTTTAATATGGCCGGATTTTCATGATTTTTCCGATACCGGATTCGGATTTGAAAATCAGACACCGAGCCGGATTCATCCGGATTCTGAAAAAAATCACAAATTCTTTTGTGTCTCAACGGCACTAATTACAAATGAACTTTCTGTCAATCCATCCTGCTCTTTGCTGCCACCTCACCTATTTTGGTTTGGCTATCTCAGGAATGCTTTTTTACGTATGAGGGGTGAAGGATTCGTCATGGTTTTGCCATATCTTGAAGCAAAGAAAACAACCTTCGTCTTGTATTCTGATGCAGTGTTTGAAAGATTTTATTAGCATGAGCAACTAGAAAGTCCATTGAGTTAGGAATTTAAGATTTTTGCTTTTAAATTATTTCTGGAATTCAAATATGTGAGCATTAACTGAATAATTATTTTGAGAATCATGTTTGACTTCAGCATTTGCTAACTTCTGGACTTGCAGTTATAGTGTTAAGATAGTCCTCTACATGAGTAGTTATTTAGGATTTGTGTCAGGCACCACCGTGCTTAGTGAAGAATACCCAGCCTGATTTGACTTAGTTGTTTGGAATTATCCACTACAGTTCAATTTGGATATTCCAAATGCATAATTCTGTCAAAGTCATGTGGTCAATTTCATATAGTTATAGCAATTAACCGGCCATAATCTGTTCAATGTTAGCTTGAATAATATCATTTAATCAGAGCAATACCAGAACACTGTCAGCTGCACTCTTATGTTGGTTTCCATATTGCGAGTGATTTCCAATCGTATCACAGAGTTTAAACTTGATATTGTGTGTACAAATAAAATTTGAAAAACGTTATAATTCAGTCGAAAATTCACTGAGGTTTGGACATCTTTACTCGAAAAGAAGCAGGATTTTTTTCGGATTATTTTTCCAAGGTATCCGGATACGAACGAATTTTGAAATCAGATAAATTTTTTCGGACGGATTCGAATTCTGTTTTTAGTAAATCCGCAGGCCCGGCACGAAAGAGTGAGGAATTCCTGTTTACAAAAATCGCTAGATTCTCACGTACGCGGAATACCGTACGATGAACGGTCCATTAACGACCTCTTGTGTATAGAAAACATAAATACGCTTCCAACAAGCCCTCAATGGCATCTCAGGCTATTTTGGTTAACCGAAAAATGCCAATAAAAAAATGTTTGCAAAATGAGCTCAACCAACCAAATTTTGAAATCAGTTAATATTTTTCGGACGGATTCGAATTCTGTTTTTGATGAATCCGCATACCACTAATTAGTTAGTTATTTGTTTCCAGAAGCATGGACTTGGTGGTGAAGGAAACTTTAACCGACCAGCGGTTACGTGAACCACTATACGGCACCCCAATCCTTTCGCACCTAGCTTTTCCCGCACAGGATTCAAATCTGCAAACCCATGCAGACTAATCAAAGGTGCGATGGCGAGCGTATCACAGACTATGCGACTGGAGTGACCAGCTATAAAAGCTAATGTTTCATGCTTTGTATTCCAAACGCTTAGCACGATGAAATTTTTTTTTATCAGATCAGAAACTAGATGATGCGCCATTGTTGACATTTTCTATGGCGCGGTAAACAAATAGAGAATTTGGAATGAATAGGGAAATGAAACGAATCCACAACCAGCATTACCTTGATCATCCCCAGACTCTTTACTCTCAACTCTTTGTTCAACCAAATGTCCACTCTGATCACTGCCTGATGTGCTGGGAATAGCCGAGCCTGCAACAACAGAAATATGGTTGTCTTACTGTAGAAGCATTATGAAGTCAATCTCAATTTTAAAGTAATGCATTTTTGACAAACTCAAATTGAATTGATTAATATACTTGGTATTGGGAATATCAGGTCTTCTGATTGATCAACAGTGGTTAGGGGTTGTGTAAACTTATTTACACTTCCATCTCAATGAGAATAAAGCCTAACAGAAGAACATAGTACAAAATCTCTTTGTTATAATTGTACCATTTCTTTTCATACCTTCGCTTTTTGCCACCTCCTCTCTCTCTCTAGCTGATGATGGACTGCCATTGTTGCTACTTTCCACTGCACTTGGTTCAGAAGAACTTTTGTTCAATATTTGAGAAGGATCTGTAACAAGGAGGCTTAGATAATATTTAATTAAGTCACTGATCACAAAATACTTGGATAATGAAACATGCGGTAAAATAGGCATTGCTTTTCATGTAGTAGACTAACTGAAACAAAAACTAATCAACAATTCCGACATGTAATCTTGACCGACATGAACTACTTGTTCGTTCTTGTTTGGAGTGAAGGTATGGAAACACCTAATATAAATAATCTCATCTGTTGTCTAACGTTGGCTCCACCGGCAATTAAAAACTAATCCGAGTTTTGTCAGTTCATGAGATGTTGGTGTTTCATTTTTAAGAGACAAACTGACAGAATGTCAGAATATCATAATTACTCCATGATGAGGAAAGCCTAACACGTGGAGGTGGAGATTGAGTCATGATTGTGACCAATTCTGTGCCTAATATTTAGGGGGAACCCCAACTTTAAAATTGTGCTCATATCTTTCGTTACCTTTACTTTTCGCTACAACCGGTCTCTGCCTTCCAGGTGATGAGCTACCATCTTTGCCTCTCTTCACCGAGCTTGGTTTGGAAGAACTTTTTGCTGAGATTTGGGAAGGATCTGTGACAAGTAAAGATGAGTAATATTAAAGTGAAGAAAAACTGGGGTTAAGAAACAATGGGTAGACAAAGTATCGCTTTCTAGCAGTCGAGTATCTGAAAAAAATACTAGTTAATACCTCCTATACGTCAGGTGAACTCATAACTGGATAAGGATCTATGGTTTGACATAAACTTGAACCACCTTTTTAACTTTTTTCATCCCCGAGATAAATTCAACAATGTTTTAATGCTATAATTCTTCCAACCCTACTGCAGTTCTCTCTAAACTTCTGTCACTATCAAATGAATCCAATTTTTCTAATAATTTTGTTCGCTCGCCAGAAGTCGCTGTTTTATTTTTAAGAGACAAAATGAATAACATATAATTTTTCATAGGACAGGATCAGATTCCCACATCCATATCAGTGAGAATAAAGGCTGAAAGAAGAACATAGCCAAGTTCCTTGATTTTTATATTACCATTTCTTTCATTACCTTTACTTTTTGCCACCTCCTGTCTCTTTCTAGCTGGTGATGGACTGCCACCCTTGTTGATTTCTACTGTACTTGGTTCAGAAGTACTTTTTTCTGAAGTTTGAGAAGAATCTGTGAAAAGAATATTTACATGTTGGATTATCATGTCACTGCTGACATTAAATCAAGGGAAATGAACAAAGGAAAAGTAGCAGTATTGCTTTACATATATTAGCACTTGACGAGAGCAATGTAACACATGATATTGCCATTGTACGATGGTTCACAAAAACACGGGACACTGAATAATATTATGTGACTATTCAAGTAAAACTGAGGTGAATGAGTGAACGTAGGCTAGAAGAAATATTGCTTTCCAAGCAGAATAGCATCTGAAACAAATACTAGTTAACATTTCCCATAACCCGACATGGACTCATTACCGGACGAGAAGCCAAGGTCGACATTATGACTGTACCGCCTTATTACCTTTTTTCTCCCCTGAGAAAAAGTTGAAAATTACCAATCGTGTGATGAATTATCTGTAAGACGCGCGATGCCAAAACTAGATGTTGCGTGATAGTTGAAAACTTTTAAGGCATGGTAAACTAATACAGCATAAGTAATGGAGAAATGTGTAGAAAAAACTATTTAGTAAGAAATACACTTAGATCAGGCGGGATTGGGGGAGATTAGACAGTTCGGTAGCAGGCTGAATTTTTCAACATTTTTTCGAATCTCTTCTCCGAACAAGGAGTTAGACAAATAATTTTATGAGATATCACCATTCTCTTGGAGGACTAGAATTTTCCCCATCATAATTATTACGTCATAGATGAAAGAATCATTTGAATCGGATATCCTTAACATGCATTGCTAACATAGTTTCATACAAAACTCAAATCATCAAGTCATTTCTGAACAAATCCACAACCAGCATTACCTGGATCAACTCCAGTCTCTTTACTTTCAGCTCCCTGTTCAACCGAAAGTCCACTCTGACCACTACCTGATGTGCCGGGAATATCAGAGCCTGAAGCAACAGAAATATCACAATTTTAATCAAGCTTTTTCTTTTTCGTTGGGTTTCTCATATAAATCCATCTGCAGTTGAATCGACGACTCAAACGAAATGAAGTTACATTACAATGACAAAGTCGTCGGTAACTCGGCAACAGGCTCTTTCTGCTCAAATACTGGAAAAGATCTCAGCGTCATATGCTTTTCGAGAGAAAAAACTTCAATAATCCTATTATATTATGCCAGGTTAGATGGCACCAAGAGTTCAAGTTCAAGTTATAATCAAGGTCATTTTTCCAGCCGGTAATAAAAATTACAAAATTAGGAGAAATATAATTCAAACACAATTTTAAGTGAAGACGCCGAGAGCTATTTTTTCTTGTACCTGCTGCGGAACTAGATGTTTGCGTCATGGTTGAAAATTTGTAGGGCGTGGCAAACTAATAGAGAATTTGGAATAAGCTTAGAGAAAATATATAGGTGGCACAAATTACTTGCTGTACATAGTCCAAATCTCGTTGTTATAATTGTAGCATTTCTTCTATTATTACCTTCGCTTTTTGCCACCTCCTCTCTCTCTCTAGCTGATGATGGACTGCCATTGTTGCTTTTTTCCACTGCACTTGGTTCAGAAGAACTTTTGTCCAAGATTTGAGAAGGATCTGTAACAAGGAGGCTTAGATAATATTTAATTAAGTCACTGATCACAAAATACTTGGATAAAGAAACATGCGGTAAAATAAGCATTGCTTTTCATGTAGTAGACTAACTGAAACAAAACTAGTCAACAATTCCGACATGAACTCTGGACCGACATGAACAACTTGTTCGTCCTTGTTTGGAGTGAAGGTATGGAAACACCTAATATAAATCATCTCATCTGTTGTCCTAACGTTGGCTCCACCGGCAATTAAAAACTATTCCGAGTTTTGTCAGTTCATGAGATGTTGGTGTTTCATTTTTAAGAGACAAACTGACAGAATGTAATAATATCATAATTACTCCATGATGAGGAAAGCCTAACACATGGAGGTGGAAATTGAGCCATGATTGTGACCAATTCTGTGCCTAATATTTTTTTTGGGGGGACCCAAACTTTAAATATTGCTCATATCTTCCTCTACCTTTACTTTTCGCTCCCTCCGGTCTCTGCCTTCCAGATGATGGGCTACCACCTTTGCCGCATTTCACTGAGCTTGGTTTGGAAGAACTTTTTGCTGAGATTTGGGAAGGATCTGTAACAAGTAAAAATGGGTAAAATCAAGGTGAAGAAAAATTGGGGTTAAGAAACAATGGGTAGGAAAAGTATCACTTTCTAGCAGTCGAGTATTTAAAAAAAAAAATTGATAAAAAAATAATACGTCAGGTGAACTCATAACTGGATAAGGATCCATGGCTTGACATATGCTTGAACCACCTTTTTAATTTTTTTCACCCCCAAGATAATTCATCAATGTTTTAATGCTATAATCTTTCCAACCCTACTGCAGTTCTCTCTAGGTTTGTGTCATTATCGAATTAATGCAATTTTTCTAATATTTTTTTCGCTCGCCAGAAGTCGCTGTTTTATTTTTAATAGACAAAATGGATAACATATAAGTTTTCATACGACAGGATCAGAATCCCACATCCAAACCAGTGAGAATAAAGCCTGAAAGAAGAACATAGTCCAAGTTCCTTGATTTTTATATTACCATTTCTTTCATTACCTTCACTTTTTGCCACCTCCTGTCTCTTTCTAGCTGGTGCTGGACTGCCACCCTTGCTGCTTTCTACTGCATTTGGTTCAGAAGTACTTTTTCCTGAGATTCGAGAAGGATCTGCTAACAAGAATATTTACATGTTGGATTATCTGGTTACTGCTGACATGAAATCAAGGGAAATGAACAAAGGAAAAGTAGCAGTATTGCTTTACATATATTAGCACTTGACGAAAGCAATGTAACACATGATATTGCCACAAAAACACGGGACACTGGATAATAATATGTGACTAATCAAGTAAAACTGAGGGTGAATAAATGAACGTAGGGTAGAAGAAATATTGCTTTCCAAGCAGAATAGCATCTGAAACAAATACTAGTTAACATTCCCCATACCCGACATATACTCATTACCGGACGAGAAGCCAAGGTCGACATTATGACTGTACTGCCTTATTACTTATTAGTTACCTTTTTTATCCCCTGACAAAATTTGAAAATTACCAATCGTGTGATGAATTATCTGTAAGACGCGCGGTGCCAAAACTACATGTTGCGTGATGGTTAAAAACTAAACTAATAGAAGTGTTTGTAATGGTGAAATGTGTAGAAAAAACTATTTTGTAAGAAATACACTTAGATCAGGCAGGATTAGGGAGATTAGACAGTAAGGGCTGAAATTTTCAACCTTTTTTCGAATCTCTTCTTCGACCAAGGAGTTAGACAAATAGTTTTATAAAATATTACCATGCTATTGGGGACTAGAATTTTCCCCATTAAGATTATTACGTCATAGATGAAAGAATCATTTGAACCGGATATCCTTAACATGCATTGCTAACATAGTTTGATACAAAACTCAAATCATCAAGTCATTTCTTCAAATCCACAACCAGCATTACCTGGATCAACTCCAGTCTCTTTACTCTCAGCTCCCTGTTCAACCGAACGTCCACTCTGATCACTGCCTGATGTGCCGGGAATATCCGAGCCTGCAAACAACAGAAATATGGCTGCCATATTTGCTATGGCTGCAGACTATTGCTCTTGTTTATTTCAAAACTTTCTGTGAGCTCTAGGGAATTTGGAACCATTTGGAAAATAAATATTCAAGTTATAGCTCAACATAAGGCCGTTTTGTGCAAAGTTAGGCAATGTAACGACATTTAATAAATTAACTAATGAATTATCGAATCTATTACACAGCAACAGAAATATTGCTGCCATACTATAAGAGCATTATCAGGTCAATCTCAATTTTGAAATAATACATTTTTTGACAAACTCAAACAGAGTATGATAAAAATGCTCGGTATGGGGAAGATCAGGTTTTCTGATATTCGTACTGGAGAGAGAAATGTGAGCAACAGTGGGTAGGGGTTATGTAAACATATGTATGTATACATGAATATGGCACATTTAACTGGTTCCCATAGAATTTTTCTTTCATCGAAATATATATGAAATTTCTTTCAAGTTTTAAACTACGCCAACTTTCACCAAAATCATTTCAGAATAACATAGTTGAAGTATTTAGGATACATGTGCTAAGGAGGTGAATGTTGCACAAATGAAACATTCGACATAAAAAATGAAGGTGCAATTTTTTGCATGCAATCCAATGAGGAGATAAAGTCCTGTTTTTATTCGAGAGATGTGTCATTGCTTGATTTTTATAAGTTTTTTCTTGATGAAAATCTCTAACCACGTGAAAAAATTACTATCAATGCCTGGAAGTGCATATGCGTGCAAAAATTGTTTTCGAAATGAATGAATGTGGTTCCCACTTATAGCCTTTATTTAGGAGTATGTAGTCCTGCATATCTTTAAGCCCTTTTTCGTAGTTACAGTCTAGTTTATTTTTAGCCAGTAAAAAAGTAGTCGTACTCATGTAGTATGTAAAACCAAGACTGCCGACACCGGAACGTAGTATGTGTAACAGGTTAGGGTTAGGCCACAAATTCAAGTAAAAATACTATAGCAGTTACTTGGCTAGTGCCTGAACTCGTAATATAACTAAAAATAGAAAAATTGGAATGAAATTATGGCCTAACTCTAACCTGATACACATGTTACGTTCCGGTGTCCACTATCTTGGTTCACATACTACGGGAGCGCCAAAGTAGTTACAAAATTAGGAAGAAATAAAAATTAAAGACAATTTTACTGGAGAAGCAAAAAACGTGAGGTAAATATTTTTTCCTATACCAGCATAACTAAATGTTGCATCATGATTGAAAATATTGTAAGGCATGTTAAACAAATAGAGAATTAGGAATAAATGAATCAATGTTTGGAGAAAATATACAAGTGGAAGAAACTATTTTAAAAGAAATACACTTTGATAAGGCCGGATTGTTGGAGATTAGACAGTTTGATAAGCAAGATTAATCTTTTAGGTAGATTTTCAAAGCTTCTATCTGATATAGTTGTCGTTTATAAATATCACTTTGCTCCTGAGGAGGGCTAGAATGTTTCCTATCAAAGATAATTATGACATAGATGAGGGAGTATGCAATCGTGTGAAACCCGATATGCTTAGCATGGCATTGCTAACGTTGTTTGGTTCGACACTCGAGCCATCAGGTCATCTCTGAACAAATCAGCAACCAACATTACCTTGATCAATTTACCCAGGTTCGTCTATCAGCCGATATTTGTTAGCTCACCAGAACTCACTAGGATAAGATAGGATTAACATATTTATTCCGGGACCCGGTGATATCCGATAAGACGGCTTAACCATATGGCGAACCACAGCCTCTCCTTCAGTTACCATTTCATGTCGGGTATGGGATTAGTTATAATGGTGTGCAGAATCCGGTTGCCCGAATTTTAATATGGCCGGATTTTCATGATTTTTCCGATACCGGATTCGGATTTGAAAATCAGACACCGAGCCGGATTCATCCGGATTCTGAAAAAAATCACAAATTCTTTTGTGTCTCAACGGCACTAATTACAAATGAACTTTCTGTCAATCCATCCTGCTCTTTGCTGCCACCTCACCTATTTTGGTTTGGCTATCTCAGGAATGCTTTTTTACGTATGAGGGGTGAAGGATTCGTCATGGTTTTGCCATATCTTGAAGCAAAGAAAACAACCTTCGTCTTGTATTCTGATGCAGTGTTTGAAAGATTTTATTAGCATGAGCAACTAGAAAGTCCATTGAGTTAGGAATTTAAGATTTTTGCTTTTAAATTATTTCTGGAATTCAAAATATGTGAGCATTAACTGAATAATTATTTGAGAATCATGTTTGATTCAGCATTTGCTAACTTCTGGACTTGCAGTTATAGTGTTAAGATAGTCCTCTACATGAGTAGTTATTTAGGATTTGTGTCAGGCACCACCGTGCTTAGTGAAGAATACCCAGCCTGATTTGACTTAGTTGTTTGGAATTATCCACTACAGTTCAATTTGGATATTCCAAATGCATAATTCTGTCAAAGTCATGTGGTCAATTTCATATAGTTATAGCAATTAACCGGCCATAATCTGTTCAATGTTAGCTTGAATAATATCATTTAATCAGAGCAATACCAGAACACTGTCAGCTGCACTCTTATGTTGGTTTCCATATTGCGAGTGATTTCCAATCGTATCACAGAGTTTAAACTTGATATTGTGTGTACAAATAAAATTTGAAAAACGTTATAATTCAGTCGAAAATTCACTGAGTTTGGACATCTTTTACTCGAAAAGAAAGCAGGATTTTTTTCGGATTATTTTCCAAGGTATCCGGATACGAACGAATTTTGAAATCAGATAAATTTTTTTCGGACGGATTCGAATTCTGTTTTTAGTAAATCCGCAGGCCCCGGCACGAAAGAGTGAGGAATTCCTGTTTACAAAAATCGCTAGATTCTCACGTACGCGGAATACCGTACGATGAACGGTCCATTAACGACCTCTTGTGTATAGAAAACATAAATACGCTTCCATCAAGCCCTCAATGGCATCTCAGGCTATTTTGGTTAACCGAAAAATGCCAATAAAAAAATGTTTGCAAAATGCAGCTCAACCAACCAAATTTTGAAATCAGTTAATATTTTTCGGACGGATTCGAATTCTGTTTTTGATGAATCCGCATACCACTAATTAGTTAGTTATTTGTTTCCAGAAGCATGGACTTGGTGGTGAAGGAAACTTTAACCGACCAGCGGTTACGTGAACCACTATACGGCACCCCAATCCTTTCGCACCTAGCTTTTCCCGCACAGGATTCAAATCTGCAAACCCATGCAGGACTAATCAAAGGTGCGATGGCGAGCGTATCACAGACTATGCGACTGGAGTGACCAGCTATAAAAGCTAATGTTTCATGCTTGTATTCCAAACGCTTAGCACGATGAAATTTTTTTTTATCAGATCAGAAACTAGATGATGCGCCATTGTTGACATTTTCTATGGCGCGGTAAACAAATAGAGAATTTGGAATGAATAGGGAAATGAAACGAATCCACAACCAGCATTACCTTGATCATCCCCAGACTCTTTACTCTCAACTCTTTGTTCAACCAAATGTCCACTCTGATCACTGCCTGATGTGCTGGGAATAGCCGAGCCTGCAACAACAGAAATATGGTTGTCTTACTGTAGAAGCATTATGAAGTCAATCTCAATTTTAAAGTAATGCATTTTTGACAAACTCAAATTGAATTGATTAATATACTTGGTATTGGGAATATCAGGTCTTCTGATTGATCAACAGTGGTTAGGGTTTGTGTAAACTTATTTACACTTCCATCTCAATGAGAATAAAGCCTAACAGAAGAACATAGTACAAAATCTCTTTGTTATAATTGTACCATTTCTTTTCATACCTTCGCTTTTTGCCACCTCCTCTCTCTCCTCTAGCTGATGATGGACTGCCATTGTTGCTACTTTCCACTGCACTTGGTTCAGAAGAACTTTTGTTCAATATTTGAGAAGGATCTGTAACAAGGAGGCTTAGATAATATTTAATTAAGTCACTGATCACAAAATACTTGGATAATGAAACATGCGGTAAAATAGGCATTGCTTTTCATGTAGTAGACTAACTGAAACAAAAACTAATCAACAATTCCGACATGTAATCTTGACCGACATGAACTACTTGTTCGTTCTTGTTTGGAGTGAAGGTATGGAAACACCTAATATAAATAATCTCATCTGTTGTCCTAACGTTGGCTCCACCGGCAATTAAAAACTAATCCGAGTTTTGTCAGTTCATGAGATGTTGGTGTTTCATTTTTAAGAGACAAACTGACAGAATGTCAGAATATCATAATTACTCCATGATGAGGAAAGCCTAACACGTGGAGGTGGAGATTGAGTCATGATTGTGACCAATTCTGTGCCTAATATTTAGGGGGAACCCCAACTTTAAAATTGTGCTCATATCTTTCGTTACCTTTACTTTTCGCTACAACCGGTCTCTGCCTTCCAGGTGATGAGCTACCATCTTTGCCTCTCTTCACCGAGCTTGGTTTGGAAGAACTTTTTGCTGAGATTTGGGAAGGATCTGTGACAAGTAAAGATGAGTAATATTAAAGTGAAGAAAAACTGGGGTTAAGAAACAATGGGTAGACAAAGTATCGCTTTCTAGCAGTCGAGTATCTGAAAAAAATACTAGTTAATACCTCCTATACGTCAGGTGAACTCATAACTGGATAAGGATCTATGGTTTGACATAAACTTGAACCACCTTTTTAACTTTTTTCATCCCCGAGATAAATTAAACAATGTTTTAATGCTATAATTCTTCCAACCCTACTGCAGTTCTCTCTAAACTTCTGTCACTATCAAATGAATCCAATTTTTCTAATAATTTTGTTCGCTCGCCAGAAGTCGCTGTTTTATTTTTAAGAGACAAAATGAATAACATATAATTTTTCATAGGACAGGATCAGATTCCCACATCCATATCAGTGAGAATAAAGGCTGAAAGAAGAACATAGCCAAGTTCCTTGATTTTTATATTACCATTTCTTTCATTACCTTTACTTTTTGCCACCTCCTGTCTCTTTCTAGCTGGTGATGGACTGCCACCCTTGTTGATTTCTACTGTACTTGGTTCAGAAGTACTTTTTTCTGAAGTTTGAGAAGAATCTGTGAAAAGAATATTTACATGTTGGATTATCATGTCACTGCTGACATTAAATCAAGGGAAATGAACAAAGGAAAAGTAGCAGTATTGCTTTACATATATTAGCACTTGACGAGAGCAATGTAACACATGATATTGCCATTGTACGATGGTTCACAAAAACACGGGACACTGAATAATATTATGTGACTATTCAAGTAAAACTGAGGTGAATGAGTGAACGTAGGCTAGAAGAAATATTGCTTTCCAAGCAGAATAGCATCTGAAACAAATACTAGTTAACATTTCCCATAACCCGACATGGACTCATTACCGGACGAGAAGCCAAGGTCGACATTATGACTGTACCGCCTTATTACCTTTTTTCTCCCCTGAGAAAAAGTTGAAAATTACCAATCGTGTGATGAATTATCTGTAAGACGCGCGATGCCAAAACTAGATGTTGCGTGATAGTTGAAAACTTTTAAGGCATGGTAAACTAATACAGCATAAGTAATGGAGAAATGTGTAGAAAAAACTATTTAGTAAGAAATACACTTAGATCAGGCGGGATTGGGGGAGATTAGACAGTTCGGTAGCAGGCTGAATTTTTCAACATTTTTTCGAATCTCTTCTCCGAACAAGGAGTTAGACAAATAATTTTATGAGATATCACCATTCTCTTGGAGGACTAGAATTTTCCCCATCATAATTATTACGTCATAGATGAAAGAATCATTTGAATCGGATATCCTTAACATGCATTGCTAACATAGTTTCATACAAAACTCAAATCATCAAGTCATTTCTGAACAAATCCACAACCAGCATTACCTGGATCAACTCCAGTCTCTTTACTTTCAGCTCCCTGTTCAACCGAAAGTCCACTCTGACCACTACCTGATGTGCCGGGAATATCAGAGCCTGAAGCAACAGAAATATCACAATTTTAATCAAGCTTTTTCTTTTTCGTTGGGTTTCTCATATAAATCCATCTGCAGTTGATCGACGACTCAAACGAAATGAAGTTACATTACAATGACAAAGTCGTCGGTAACTCGGCAACAGGCTCTTTCTGCTCAAAATACTGGAAAAGATCTCAGCGTCATATGCTTTTCGAGAGAAAAAACTTCAATAATCCTATTATATTATGCCAGGTTAGATGGCACCAAGAGTTCAAGTTCAAGTTATAATCAAGGTCATTTTTCCAGCCGGTAATAAAATTACAAAATTAGGAGAAATATAATTCAAACACAATTTTAAGTGAAGACGCCGAGAGCTATTTTTTCTTGTACCTGCTGCGGAACTAGATGTTGCGTCATGGTTGAAAATTTGTAGGGCGTGGCAAACTAATAGAGAATTTGGAATAAGCTTAGAGAAAATATATAGGTGGCACAAATTACTTGCTGTACATAGTCCAAATCTCGTTGTTATAATTGTAGCATTTCTTCTATTATTACCTTCGCTTTTTGCCACCTCCTCTCTCTCTCTAGCTGATGATGGACTGCCATTGTTGCTTTTTTCCACTGCACTTGGTTCAGAAGAACTTTTGTCCAAGATTTGAGAAGGATCTGTAACAAGGAGGCTTAGATAATATTTAATTAAGTCACTGATCACAAAATACTTGGATAAAGAAACATGCGGTAAAATAAGCATTGCTTTTCATGTAGTAGACTAACTGAAACAAAAACTAGTCAACAATTCCGACATGAACTCTGGACCGACATGAACAACTTGTTCGTCCTTGTTTGGAGTGAAGGTATGGAAACACCTAATATAAATCATCTCATCTGTTGTCCTAACGTTGGCTCCACCGGCAATTAAAAACTATTCCGAGTTTTGTCAGTTCATGAGATGTTGGTGTTTCATTTTTAAGAGACAAACTGACAGAATGTAATAATATCATAATTACTCCATGATGAGGAAAGCCTAACACATGGAGGTGGAAATTGAGCCATGATTGTGACCAATTCTGTGCCTAATATTTTTTTTGGGGGGGACCCAAACTTTAAATATTGCTCATATCTTCCTCTACCTTTACTTTTCGCTCCCTCCGGTCTCTGCCTTCCAGATGATGGGCTACCACCTTTGCCGCATTTCACTGAGCTTGGTTTGGAAGAACTTTTTGCTGAGATTTGGGAAGGATCTGTAACAAGTAAAAATGGGTAAAATCAAGGTGAAGAAAAATTGGGGTTAAGAAACAATGGGTAGGAAAAGTATCACTTTCTAGCAGTCGAGTATTTAAAAAAAAAAATTGATAAAAAAATAATACGTCAGGTGAACTCATAACTGGATAAGGATCCATGGCTTGACATATGCTTGAACCACCTTTTTAATTTTTTTCACCCCCAAGATAAATTCATCAATGTTTTAATGCTATAATCTTTCCAACCCTACTGCAGTTCTCTCTAGGTTTGTGTCATTATCGAATTAATGCAATTTTTCTAATATTTTTTTCGCTCGCCAGAAGTCGCTGTTTTATTTTTAATAGACAAAATGGATAACATATAAGTTTTCATACGACAGGATCAGAATCCCACATCCAAACCAGTGAGAATAAAGCCTGAAAGAAGAACATAGTCCAAGTTCCTTGATTTTTATATTACCATTTCTTTCATTACCTTCACTTTTTGCCACCTCCTGTCTCTTTCTAGCTGGTGCTGGACTGCCACCCTTGCTGCTTTCTACTGCATTTGGTTCAGAAGTACTTTTTCCTGAGATTCGAGAAGGATCTGTAACAAGAATATTTACATGTTGGATTATCTGGTTACTGCTGACATGAAATCAAGGGAAATGAACAAAGGAAAAGTAGCAGTATTGCTTTACATATATTAGCACTTGACGAAAGCAATGTAACACATGATATTGCCACAAAAACACGGGACACTGGATAATAATATGTGACTAATCAAGTAAAACTGAGGTGAATAAATGAACGTAGGGTAGAAGAAATATTGCTTTCCAAGCAGAATAGCATCTGAAACAAATACTAGTTAACATTCCCCATACCCGACATATACTCATTACCGGACGAGAAGCCAAGGTCGACATTATGACTGTACTGCCTTATTACTTATTAGTTACCTTTTTTATCCCCTGACAAAATTTGAAAATTACCAATCGTGTGATGAATTATCTGTAAGACGCGCGGTGCCAAAACTACATGTTGCGTGATGGTTAAAAACTAAACTAATAGAGTGTTTGTAATGGTGAAATGTGTAGAAAAAACTATTTTGTAAGAAATACACTTAGATCAGGCAGGATTAGGGGAGATTAGACAGTAAGGGCTGAAATTTTCAACCTTTTTTCGAATCTCTTCTTCGACCAAGGAGTTAGACAAATAGTTTTATAAAATATTACCATGCTATTGGGGGACTAGAATTTTCCCCATTAAGATTATTACGTCATAGATGAAAGAATCATTTGAACCGGATATCCTTAACATGCATTGCTAACATAGTTTGATACAAAACTCAAATCATCAAGTCATTTCTTCAAATCCACAACCAGCATTACCTGGATCAACTCCAGTCTCTTTACTCTCAGCTCCCTGTTCAACCGAACGTCCACTCTGATCACTGCCTGATGTGCCGGGAATATCCGAGCCTGCAACAACAGAAATATGGCTGCCATATTTGCTATGGCTGCAGACTATTGCTCTTGTTTATTTCAAAACTTTCTGTGAGCTCTAGGGAATTTGGAACCATTTGGAAAATAAATATTCAAGTTATAGCTCAACATAAGGCCGTTTTGTGCAAAGTTAGGCAATGTAACGACATTTAATAAATTAACTAATGAATTATCGAATCTATTACACAGCAACAGAAATATTGCTGCCATACTATAAGAGCATTATCAGGTCAATCTCAATTTTGAAATAATACATTTTTTGACAAACTCAAACAGAGTATGATAAAAATGCTCGGTATGGGGAAGATCAGGTTTTCTGATATTCGTACTGGAGAGAGAAATGTGAGCAACAGTGGGTAGGGGTTATGTAAACATATGTATGTATACATGAATATGGCACATTTAACTGGTTCCCATAGAATTTTTCTTTCATCGAAATATATATGAAATTTCTTTCAAGTTTTAAACTACGCCAACTTTCACCAAAATCATTTCAGAATAACATAGTTGAAGTATTTAGGATACATGTGCTAAGGAGGTGAATGTTGCACAAATGAAAACATTCGACATAAAAAATGAAGGTGGCAATTTTTTGCATGCAATCCAATGAGGAGATAAAGTCCTGTTTTTATTCGAGAGATGTGTCATTGCTTGATTTTTATAAGTTTTTTCTTGATGAAAATCTCTAACCACGTGAAAAAATTACTATCAATGCCTGGAAGTGCATATGCGTGCAAAAAATTGTTTTCGAAAATGAATGAATGTGGTTCCCACTTATAGCCTTTATTTAGGAGTATGTAGTCCTGCATATCTTTAAGCCCTTTTCGTAGTTACAGTCTAGTTTATTTTTAGCCAGTAAAAAAGTAGTCGTACTCATGTAGTATGTAAACCAAGACTGCCGACACCGGAACGTAGTATGTGTAACAGGTTAGGGTTAGGCCACAAATTCAAGTAAAAATACTATAGCAGTTACTTGGCTAGTGCCTGAACTCGTAATATAACTAAAAATAGAAAAATTGGAATGAAATTATGGCCTAACTCTAACCTGATACACATGTTACGTTCCGGTGTCCACTATCTTGGTTCACATACTACGGGAGCGCCAAAGTAGTTACAAAATTAGGAGAAATAAAAATTAAAGACAATTTTACTGGAGAAGCAAAAACGTGAGGTAAATATTTTTTCCTATACCAGCATAACTAAATGTTGCATCATGATTGAAAATATTGTAAGGCATGTTAAACAAATAGAGAATTAGGAATAAATGAATCAATGTTTGGAGAAAATATACAAGTGGAAGAAACTATTTTAAAAGAAATACACTTTGATAAGGCCGGATTGTTGGAGATTAGACAGTTTGATAGCAAGATTAATCTTTTAGGAGATTTTCAAAGCTTCTATCTGATATAGTTGTCGTTTTATAAATATCACTTTGCTCCTGAGAGGGCTAGAATGTTTCCTATCAAGATAATTATGACATAGATGAGGGAGTATGCAATCGTTGAAACCCGATATGCTTAGCATGCATTGCTAACGTTGTTTGGTTCGACACTCGAGCCATCAGGTCATCTCTGAACAAATCAGCAACCAACATTACCTTGATCAATTTACCAGGTTCGTCTATCAGCCGATATTTGTTAGCTCACCAGAACTCACTAGGATAAGATAGGATTAACATATTTATTCCGGGACCGGTGATATCCGATAAGACGGCTTAACCATATGGCGAACCACAGCCTCTCCTTCAGTTACCATTTCATGTCGGGTATGGGATTAGTTATAATGGTGTGCAGAATCCGGTTGCCGAATTTTAATATGGCCGGATTTTCATGATTTTTCCGATACCGGATTCGGATTTGAAAATCAGACACCGAGCCGGATTCATCCGGATTCTGAAAAAAATCACAAATTCTTTTGTGTCTCAACGGCACTAATTACAAATGAACTTTCTGTCAATCCATCCTGCTCTTTGCTGCCACCTCACCTATTTTGGTTTGGCTATCTCAGGAATGCTTTTTTACGTATGAGGGGTGAAGGATTCGTCATGGTTTTGCCATATCTTGAAGCAAAGAAAACAACCTTCGTCTTGTATTCTGATGCAGTGTTTGAAAGATTTTATTAGCATGAGCAACTAGAAAGTCCATTGAGTTAGGAATTTAAGATTTTTGCTTTTAAATTATTTCTGGAATTCAAATATGTGAGCATTAACTGAATATTTATTTTGAGAATCATGTTTGAATTCAGCATTTGCTAACTTCTGGACTTGCAGTTATAGTGTTAAGATAGTCCTCTACATGAGTAGTTATTTAGGATTTGTGTCAGGCACCACCATGCTTAGTGAAGAATACCCAGCCTGATTTGACTTAGTTGTTTGGAATTATCCACTACAGTTCAATTTGGATATTCCAAATGCATAATTCTGTCAAAGTCATGTGGTCAATTTCATATAGTTATAGCAATTAACCGGCCATAATCTGTTCAATGTTAGCTTAAATAATATCAGTTTATCAGAGCAATACCAGAACACTGTCAGCTGCACTCTTATGTTGGTTTCCATATTGCGAGTGATTTCCAATCGTATCACAGAGTTTAAACTTGATATTGTGTGTACAAATAAAATTTGAAAAACGTTATAATTCAGTCGAAAATTCACTGAAGTTTGGACATCTTTACTTGAAAAGGAGCAGGATTTTTTTCGGATTATTTTTCCAAGGTATCCGGATACGAACGAATTTTGAAATCAGATAAATTTTTTCGGACGGATTCGAATTCTGTTTTTAGTAAATCCGCAGGCCCGGCACGAAAGAGTGAGGAATTCCTGTTTACAAAAATCGCTAGATTCTCACGTACGCGGAATACCGTACGATGAACGGTCCATTAACGACCTCTTGTGTATAGAAAACATGAATACGCTTCCAACAAGCCCTCAATGGCATCTCAGGCTATTTTGGTTAACCGAAAAATGCCAATAAAAAAATGTTTGCAAAATGAGCTCAACCAACCAAATTTTGAAATCAGTTAATATTTTTCGGACGGATTCGAATTCTGTTTTTGATGAATCCGCTTACCACTAATTAGTTAGTTATTTGTTTCCAGAAGCATGGACTTGGTGGTGAAGGAAACTTTAACCGACCAGCGGTTACGTGAACCACTATACGGCACCCCAATCCTTTCGCACCTAGCTATTCCCGCACAGGATTCAAATCTGCAAACCCATGCAGACTAATCAAAGGTGCGATGGCGAGCGTATCACAGACTATGCGACTGGAGTGACCAGCTATAAAAGCTAATGTTTCATGCTTTGTATTCCAAACGCTTAGCACGATGAAATTTTTTTTTATCAGATCAGAAACTAGATGATGCTCCATTGTTGACATTTTCTATGGCGCGGTAAACAAATAGAGAATTTGGAATGAATAGGGAAATGAAACGAATCCACAACCAGCATTACCTTGATCATCCCCAGACTCTTTACTCTCAACTCTTTGTTCAACCAAATGTCCACTCTGATCACTGCCTGATGTGCTGGGAATAGCCGAGCCTGCAACAACAGAAATATGGTTGTCCTACTGTAGAAGCATTATGAAGTCAATCTCAATTTTAAAGTAATGCATTTTTGACAAACTCAAACTGAATTGATTAATATACTTTGTATTGGGAATATCAGGTCTTCTGATTGATCAACAGTGGTTAGGGGTTGTGTAAACTTATTTACACTTCCATCTCAATGAGAATAAAGCCTAACAGAAGAACATAGTACAAAATCTCTTTGTTATAATTGTACCATTTCTTTTATTACCTTCGCTTTTTGCCACCTCCTCTCTCTCTCTAGCTGATGATGGACTGCCATTGTTGCTACTTTCCACTGCACTTGCTTCAGAAGAACTTGTGTTCAAGATTTGAGAAGGATCTGTAACAAGGAGGCTTAGATAATATTTAATTAAGTCACTGATCACAAAATACTTGGATAATGAAACATGCGGTAAAATAGGCATTGCTTTTCATGTAGTAGACTAACTGAAACAAAAACTAATCGACAATTCCGACATGTAATCTTGACCGACATGAACTACTTGTTCGTTCTTGTTTGGAGTGAAGGTATGGAAACACCTAATATAAATCATCTCATCTGTTGTCCTAACGTTGGCTCCACCGGCAATTAAAAACTAATCCGAGTTTTGTCAGTTCATGAGATGTTGGTATTTCATTTTTAAGAGACAAACTGACAGAATGCCAGAATATCATAATTACTCCATGGTGAGGAAAGCCTAACACGTGGAGGTGGATGGGGACATGATTGTGACCGATTCTGTGCCTAATATTTAGGGGGAACCCCAACTTTAAAATTGTGCTCATATCTTTCGTTACCTTTACTTTTCGCTACAACCGGTCTCTGCCTTCCAGGTGATGAGCTACCATCTTTGCCTCTCTTCACCGAGCTTGGTTTGGAAGAACTTTTTGCTGAGATTTGGGAAGGATCTGTGACAAGTAAAGATGAGTAATATTAAAGTGAAGAAAAACTGGGGTTAAGAAACAATGGGTAGACAAAGTATCACTTTCTAGCAGTCGAGTATCTAAAAAAAATACTAGTTAATAACTCCTATACGTCAGGTGAACTCATAACTGGATAAGGATCTATGGTTTGACATAAACTTGAACCACCTTTTTAACTTTTTTCATCCCCGAGATAAATTCAACAATGTTTTAATGCTATAATTCTTCCAACCCTACTGCAGTTCTCTCTAAACTTCTGTCACTATCAAATGAATCCAATTTTTCTAATAATTTTGTTCGCTCGCCAGAAGTCGCTGTTTTATTTTTAAGAGACAAGATGAATAACATATAATTTTTCATACGACAGGATCAGATTCCCACATCCATATCAGTGAGAATAAAGGCTGAAAGAAGAACATAGCCAAGTTCCTTGATTTTTATATTACCATTTCTTTCATTACCTTTACTTTTTGCCACCTCCTGTCTCTTTCTAGCTGGTGATGGACTGCCACCCTTGTTGATTTCTACTGTACTTGGTTCAGAAGTACTTTTTTCTGAAGTTTGAGAAGAATCTGTGAAAAGAATATTTACATGTTGGATTATCATGTCACTGCTGACATTAAATCAAGGGAAATGAACAAAGGAAAAGTAGCAGTATTGCTTTACATATATTAGCACTTGACGAAAGCTATGTAACACATAATATTGCCACAAAAACACGGGACACTGGATAATATTATGTGACTAATCAAGTAAAACTGAGGTGAATGAGTGAACGTAGGCTAGAAGAAATATTGCTTTCCAAGCAGAATAGCATCTGAAACAAATACTAGTTAACATTTCCCATAACCCGACATGGACTCATTACCGGACGAGAAGCCAAGGTCGACATTATGACTGTACCGCCTTATTACCTTTTTTCTCCCCTGAGAAAAAGTTGAAAATTACCAATCGTGTGATGAATTATCTGTAAGACGCGCGATGCCAAAACTAGATGTTGCATGATGGTTGAAAACTTTTAAGGCATGGTAAACTAATAGAGCATATGTAATGGAGAATTGTGTAGAAAAAACTATTTAGTAAGAAATACACTTAGATCAGGCGGGATTGGGGGAGATTAGACAGTTCGGTAGCAGGCTGAATTTTTCAACATTTTTTCGAATCTCTTCTCCGAACAAGGAGTTAGCCAACTAATTTTATGAGATATCACCATGCTCTTGGAGGACTAGACTTTTCCCCATCATAATTATTACGTCATAGATGAAAGAATCATTTGAATCGGATATCCTTAACATGCATTGCTAACATAGTTTCATACAAAACTCAAATCATCAAGTCATTTCTGAACAAATCCACAACCAGCATTACCTGGATCAACTCCAGTCTCTTTACTTTCAGCTCCCTGTTCAACCGAAAGTCCACTCTGACCACTGCCTGATGTGCCGGGAATATCCGAGCCTGAAGCAACAGAAATATCACAATTTTAATCAAGCTTTTTCTTTTTCGTTGGGTTTTTCATACAAATCCATCTGCAGTTGATCGACGACTCAAACGAAATGAAGTTACATTACAATGACAAAGTCGTCGGTAACTCGGCAACAGGCTCTTTCTGCTCAAAATACTGGAAAAGATCTCAGCGTCATATGCTTTTCGAGAGAAAAAACTTCAATAATCCTATTATATTATGCCAGGTTAGATGGCACCAAGAGTTCAAGTTCAAGTTATAATCAAGGTCATTTTTCCAGCCGGTAATAAAATTACAAAATTAGGAGAAATATAATTCAAACACAATTTTAAGTGAAGACGCCGAGAGCTATTTTTTCTTGTACCTGCTGCGGAACTAGATGTTGCGTCATGGTTGAAAATTTGTAGGGCGTGGCAAACTAATAGAGAATTTGGAATAAGCTTAGAAAAAATATATAGGTGGCACAAATTACTTGCTGTACATAGTCCAAATCTCGTTGTTATAATTGTAGCATTTCTTCTATTATTACCTTCGCTTTTTGCCACCTCCTCTCTCTCTCTAGCTGATGATGGACTGCCATTGTTGCTTTTTTCCACTGCACTTGGTTCAGAAGAACTTTTGTCCAAGATTTGAGAAGGATCTGTAACAAGGAGGCATAGATAATATTTAATTAAGTCACTGATCACAAAATACTTGGATAATGAAACATGCGGTAAAATAAGCATTGCTTTTCATGTAGTAGACTAACTGAAACAAAAACTAGTCAACAATTCCGACATGTACTCTGGATCGACATGAACAACTTGTTCGTCCTTGTTTGGAGTGAAGGTATGGAAACACCTAATATAAATCATCTCATCTGTTGTCCTAACGTTGGCTCCACCGGCAATTAAAAACTATTCCGAGTTTTGTCAGTTCATGAGATGTTGGTGTTTCATTTTAAAGAGACAAACTGACAGAATGTCATAATATCATAATTACTCCATGATGAGGAAAGCCTAACACGTGGAGGTGGAAATTGAGCCATGATTGTGACCAATTCTGTGCCTAATATTTTTTTTGGGGGGGACCCAAACTTTAAATATTGCTCATATCTTCCGCTACCTTTACTTTTCGCTCCCTCCGGTCTCTGCCTTCCAGATGATGGGCTACCACCTTTGCCGCTTTTCACTGAGCTTGGTTTGGAAGAACTTTTTGCTGAGATTTGGGAAGGATCTGTAACAAGTAAAAATGGGTAAAATCAAGGTGAAGAAAAATTGGGGTTAAGAAACAATGGGTAGGAAAAGTATCACTTTCTAGCAGTCGAGTATTTGAAAAAAAAAATTGATAAAAAAATAATACGTCAGGTGAACTCATAACTGGATAAGGATCCATGGCTTGACATATGCTTGAACCACCTTTTTAATTTTTTTCACCCCCAAGATAAATTCAACAATGTTTTAATGCTATAATCTTTCCAACCCTACTGCAGTTCTCTCTAGGTTTGTGTCACTATCGAATTAATCCAATTTTTCTAATATTTTTTTCGCTCGCCAGAAGTCGCTGTTTTATTTTTAATAGACAAAATGGATAACATATAAGTTTTCATACGACAGGATCAGAATCCCACATCCAAACCAGTGAGAATAAAGCCTGAAAGAAGAACATAGTCCAAGTTCCTTGATTTTTATATTACCATTTCTTTCATTACCTTCACTTTTTGCCACCTCCTGTCTCTTTCTAGCTGGTGCTGGACTGCCACCCTTGCTGCTTTCTACTGCATTTGGTTCAGAAGTACTTTTCCCTGAGATTCGAGAAGGATCTGTAACAAGAATATTTACATGTTGGATTATCTGGTTACTGCTGACATGAAATCAAGGGAAATGAACAAAGGAAAAGTAGCAGTATTGCTTTACATATATTAGCACTTGACGAAAGCAATGTAACATATGATAATGCCATTGTACGGTGGTTCACAAAAACACGGGACACTGGATAATATTATGTGACTAATCAAGTAAAACTGAGGTGAATAAATGAACGTAGGATAGAAGAAATATTGCTTTCCAAGCAGAATAGCATATGAAACAAATACTAGTTAACATTCCCCATACCCGACATATACTCATTACCGGACGAGAAGCCAAGGTCGACATTATGACTGTACTGCCTTATTAGTTACCTTTTTTCTCCCCTGACAAAATTTGAAAATTACCAATCGTGTGATGAATTATTCGTAAGACGCGCGGTGCCGCGGTACATGTTGCGTGATGGTTAAAAACAAAACTAATAGAGTGTTTGTAATGGTGAAATGTGTAGAAAAAACTATTTTGTAAGAAATACACTTAGATCAGGCGGGATTAGGGGAGATTAGACAGTAAGGGCTGAAATTTTCAACCCTTTTTCGAATCTCTTCTTCGAACAAGGAGTTAGACAAATAGTTTTATGAAATATTACCATGCTATTGGGGGACTAGAATTTTCCCCATTAAGATTAATACGTCATAGATGAAAGAATCATTTGAACCGGATATCCTTAACATGCATTGCTAACATAGTTTGATACAAAACTCAAAGCATCAAGTCATTTCTTCAAATCCACAACCAGCATTACCTGGATCAACTCCAGTCTCTTTACTCTCAGCTCCCTGTTCAACCGAACGTCCACTCTGATCACTGCCTGATGTGCCGGGAATATCCGAGCCTGCAACAACAGAAATATGGCTGCCATATTTGCTATGGCTGCAGACTATTGCTCTTGTTTATTTCAAAACTTTCTGTGAGCTCTAGGGAACTTGGATCCATTTGGAAAATAAATATTCAAGTTATAGCTCAACATAAGGCCGTTTTGTGCAAAGTTAGGCAATGTAACGGCATTTAATAAATTAACTAATGAATTATCGAATCTATTACACAGCAACAGAAATATGGCTGCCATACTATAAAAGCATTATCAGGTCAATCTCAATTTTAAAATAATGCATGCAAATGACAAACTCAAACCAAGTATGATAAAAATACTCGGTATTGGGAAGATCAGGTTTTCTGATATTCGTACTGGAGAGAGAAATGTGAGCAACAGTGGGTAGGGGTTATGTAAACATATGTATGTATACATGAATATGGCACATTTAACTGGTTCTCATAGAATTTTTCTTTCTTCGAAATATATATGAAATTTCTTTCAAGTTTTAAACTATGCCAACTTTCACCAAAATCATTTCAGAATAACATAGTTGAAGTATTAAGGATACATGTGCTAAGGAGGTGAATGTTGCACAAATGGAAAACTTTATTGACAAAAAAACAAAACTAAACTGAATATTGCTCACATCACCTAACCTATAAAAATAGTAATATATAAATGAAACAATAATTGTTAAAACACGTTTATGTCAAAGTAAGTCGAGGTGAAGCTTCATACCCAATGGACGCTCGATCAAAGGATAAACGGATAACGACTCCGAGCACCATTTTGTGTGTAACCATGGGAATGGAAGCGAAAGTCTGTACAGTAGAAGAATACAGATATTGCCTGACTTGTGGTTAACAGAATAGAATTTTTATATTTATCCCGCGAGGGAAAGCCGATAAGTCGGCATAATCATATTTTATAAAAAAGTTTTGTTTGTCGCAGTTAGGAATAAGAAAGTATGGATACAAGTGGAAGTATAGCGGTAAGATGCGTTGGTGCCGGAGACGTCTTGAAGTGGTAAAAGACATGATCTAGTGTTAATTGGGAAAAAAAAAATTGTGAATGAAAACATTCGACATAATAAATGAAGGTGGCAATTTTTTGCATGCAATGCCATGAGGAGATAAAGTCCTGTTTTTATTCGAGAGATGTGTCATTGCTTGATTTTTATAAAAAGTAATTTCTTGATGTAAATCTCTATCCATGTGAATAAATTACCATCGATGCCTGGAAGTGCATATGCGTGCAAAAAACTATTTTCGAAAATGAATGAATGTGGTTCCCACTTATAGCCTTCATTTAGGAGTATGTAGTCCTGCATATCTTTAAGCCCTTTTTCGAGTTACAGTCTAGTTTATTTTCCAGCCAGTAAAAAAGTAGTCGTACTCATGTAGTATGTAAACCAAGACTGCCGACACCGGGACGTAGTATGTGTAACAGGTTAGGGTTAGGCCACAAATTCAGATACAAATACTACAGGTGTCACTTGGCTAGTCCCTGAACTCGTAATAGAACTAAAATAAGGAAAATTGGAAAAAAATTATGGCCTAACCCTAACCAGATACGCATGCTACATTCCGGTGTTCACTATTTTGGTTCATATGCTACGGAAGTGCCAAAGTAGTTACAAAATTAGGAGAAATAAAACTAAAGACAGATTTACTGGGAAAGCAAAAATGTGGGACAGATAATTTTTTTTCACCAGCATAACTAGATGATGACTAAATAAGACTAGATAAAAATATTGTAAGGCATGTTAAACAAATGGAGAATTAGGAATAAATAGATCAATGTTTGGAAAAAATAATAAGAGTGGAACAAACTATTTTATATGAAATATACTTAGATAAGGCCAGATTGTTGGATAACAAGTTTGATAACAGACTGAATTTTTTCATCGTAATTTCAAATCTCTTCTCTGAATAAGGAGTTAGATAAATAGTTTTATGAAATATAACTATGCTTTAGGAAGGACTGGCATTTTTCCTGCCAAGATTATTACATCATAGAAGACGTTTGCAATTATTGAAACCCCATATCTCAAACTTGCGCCGCCAACAAAGTTTGATTCAACTCTCGAATCATCAAATCAGCTTCCACAACCAGCAATACCTGACAATGTCTGATATTGATACTTGTGGTTGAATTCTATGCCCCACCCCTTCTATGACATGTTGTCACACCTTCACTTTTAACAAAGCCCTACCAAGCACCAGAGTACAGTAAGATATAGAAATTGTTCAAGTCAGTACTGTTAAGGAAATGGGTTTAGGAGCTCCAATCTGATCATAATGTATTATATTGTGCCAGGTTGGGTGGCAACAGATGTGAATGAACATAGGTATAGACAAGTGGTTTTTACACTACTTTCAAATTATTTCACAGGGGGTCCCTTTGGAATGTTTAATAGGGATTCTGCTCCATTAAAAGGGACTCATTCTTTGGATTTTATTCATCTCATATTATTATCAAATATAAGATGAAATTTAAACATTAAAATCTGAATGGGTCGCCGGCCGTCATTCTTTCCCTACTTGACTGATCTCAGACACAATTCCTATGTCAGCCATCTTACCCTGGGTAGAATGTATTAGATATGGTAGAGCAGACATTGCCAAATCCGGAACATTCCGTTCCATTGCAATATAGAGGCTACTTGTTATTTGGGGGATGAAACCCACACTTGGAAATTTTGCTAATATATTTTGTTACCTCTACTTTTTGCCATCTCGCTTCTTTGTCTTGCAGGTGATGGGATACCACCCCTGCTGCTTTCCACTGCGCTTAATTCAGAAGATATTTTGCCTGAGATTTGAGAAGGATCTGTAACAAGCAAGCTCAGTTAATATTTATGTGACTGATCACAAAATACTTGCATAAAGAAACATGCGGTAAAATAGGCATTGCTTTTCACGTAGTAGACTAACTGAAACAAAAACTAATCAACAATTCCCATACCGGACATGTACTCATGACTAACATGAACTATTTGAGGTTTGGTCTGCTCATGAGATGTTGCTGTTTCATTTTTAAGAGAAAAACTGACAGAATGCCAGATTATCCTAAATACTCCATGGGGAGGAAAGCCTAAGAGGTGGAGGTTGGGATAGGGTCATGATTGTGACCAATTCTGTGCCTAATATTTAGGAAGAAACCCCAACTTTAAATATTGCCCATATCTTTCGTTACCTTTACTTTTCGCTCCCTCTGGTCTCTGCCTTCCAGATGATGAGCTACCACTTTTGCCTCTTTTCACCGAGCTTGATTTGGAAGAACTTTTTGGTGAGATTTGGGAAGGATCTGTAACAAGTATAGATGGGTAATATTATTGTGACTGAACAAGTAAAACTGGGGTTAAGAAACAAAGGGCAGATAAAGTATCGCTTTCTAGCAGTCGAGTATCTGAAACAAATACTAGTTAATAACTACTATACGTCAGGTGAACTCATAACTGAATAAGGATCCATGGCTTGACATAAACTTGAACCATCTTTTTAATTTTTTTCACCATCGAGATAAATTCAACAATGTTTTAATGCTATAATCTTTCCAACCATACTGCAGTTCTCTCTAAACTTCTGTCACTATCAATTAAATCCAATTTTTCTAATAATTTTGTTCGCTCGCTAGAAGTCGCTGTTTTATTTTCAAGAGACAAGTCGAATACCGTATAAGTTTTCATATAACAGAATCAGAATCTCACATCCATACCAGTAAGAATGAAGCCTAAAAGAAGAAAATAGACCATGTCTCTTTATTTTTATATTACCATTTCTTTCATTACCTTCACTTTTTGCCACCTCCTGCCTCTTTCTAGCTGGTGATGGACTGCCACCCTTGCTGCTTTCTACTGCACTTGGTTCAGAAGAACTTTTTCCTGAGATTTGAGAAGAATCTGTGAAAAGAATATTCACATGTTGTGTTATCGCTTTACTGCTCACATAAAATCAAGAAAAATGAACAAAGAAAAAGCAGCATTATTGCTTTACATATATTAGCACTTGAAGCGAGCAATGTAACACATGAGAATCCATTGCATGGTGGTTTCCACTAACAGCATTCATTTAGAAGTATTACATATTTAAGCCCTATTTCGAATTACTTAACGTAAGTTGATTTTTTACAGACTTTGAGAAACGGTTTTTTTTTACTATACCCAAAACTAGATGATGCGCCATGGTTGAAATTTTGTATGGCGCCATAAACTAATAGAGAATTTGGAATAAATAGAGAAATGCAACAAATCCACAAGCAGCATTACCTTGATCAACTCCAGACTTTTTAATCTCAGCTCTCTGTTCAACAGAACGTCCACTCTGATCACTGCGTGATGTGCTGGGAATATCCGAGCCTACAACAACAGAAATATGGCTGTCATACCATGAAAGCATTAGGAGACTATTGCTCTTTTATATTTCAAAACTTTCTGTGAGCTCTAGGGAATTTGGAACAATTTGGAAAATGAATATTCAAGTTATAGCTCAACATAAGGCCGTTTTGTGCAAAGTTAGGCAATGTAACGGCATTTAATAAATTACCTAATGAATTATCGAATCTATTACACAGCAACAGAAATAATGCTGCCATACTATAAGAGCATTATCAGGTCAATCTCAATTTTAAAATAATGCATTTTTTGACAAACTCAAACCGAGTATGATAAAAACACTCGGTATTGGGAAGATCAGGTATTCTGATATTCGTACTGGAGAGAGAAATGTGAGCAACAATGGGTAGGGGTTATGTAAACATATGTATGTATACATGAATATGGCACATTTAACTGGTTCCCATAGAATTTTTCTTTCTTCGAAATATATATAAAATTTCTTTCAAGTTTTAAACTATGCCAACTTTCACCAAAATCATTTCAGAATAACTATATAGTTGAAGTATTTAGGATACATGTGCTAAGGAGGTGAATGTTACACAAATGGAAAACTATGTTGACAAAAAAACAAAACTAAACAGAATATTGCTCACATCACCTAACCTATAAAAATAGTAAA